GAATGGTGTCGACACCCGGCGAGCAGTCTGCGTAGAGACGTCAGCTTTTGCAATACAGCTTCCGTGGTAAAAGTGATGTGGCTTACTCTTGGCGAGGAGACGACAAAGGTTGTTAGATCACTTGGTGACAAGACCCTCTGAAACGTGGAACATATTGCATCCGCAGCGCGTTTACTGCTTCCACAGCCGTTCTTGTTGGACCATCAGCCGTCCTGAGTGGAGGAAATCCTTGCCTCACCTTTCGTAGGCTAGTGACCTGGTTGTACAGCAGTTTGTGGTTAGCAGTGAAGGTTTTTGCGATGTTCTGCTATTAGGCGGCTTTGTCTTCTCCTAGCATTTGAGTACAGGGGTTACGTTGGACTACGTATTTGTCTCAAGTTTCTGGTGCTGGAGCTTCTCTGTACACTCGCCATGCTGCGTTGCGTACTGTCATTTATTTTTGAGTTCTGCTCCTAACGAAAGAAATTGATGTACACTTATTGCGTGCTCTTATTTCTGAAGCCTCTGCAATCAGCTGATTGAATTTGTTGACGAACTCGAGCCAGGCGACTTCCGGGGGTTCTTCGGCAAGGAACAACCTAGTTGTAGCGCTGACGAGCTGGGCTAATCGATCGTAGCTTGTGATGGTTCGCACAGCCTCATCCTTCTCATTCCGATATTCTGCATAGCAGACGAAGTTGTAACTGATGACTGCATGATCACTGCGACCCAACGGGCAGTCTACAACCAACACATCCATCATATGCTCCTCGTTAGTAAGCACAAGATCCAGCACAGATGGCCTGTTACCTGTTCTGAACCGAGTGGACAAAGTGATGGGATTGTAAAGCGGAACAATGGTTACGAGACCCTGTAGATCGACTTTGAATGGTTCTCAGCTCGTGGCAGGCGTTTCTACACAATGTACGTTGAAATCACCCATGGTAAGTATGTGAGTGTACTATCGTTGTAAACTGCATCTTAAAGCAGCTACTAGGTGGCAGTCGGTTTCGGGTGTAGAGTTAGGGGGCTGTACATCAAGACAAAAAGGCAAGCGTCCCTGCCTTTTAACTGCAAGCGGCACCAAAGAGAATCAGGGAACTGCGAGTATGAATCCACCGCGGCTTCGCACTGTAAATCGCTTCGGTAATACAGAATTACCCCTCCTCCTTTTGTGAGCCTATCCTTCCCGATCAGCGACATGCCCGGTAGCGAAACTTCGGCGTCCGTCATTCCGGTGTGTAACCACGTCTCGGTGATACCAATGACATCATACTACCAGGAAGCTTGGCGATGTTTCAGTTCAACCAGTTTCTTATAAAGACCCTGACGATTCGTATACAAGCAGGCCAGTTTCTGGGTCTCTAGGAGCCCACAGAGGGTGAAAAAGTCAAGTGTAGAAGAATGCCGACCGATGGGAAGTCATCGGTTACTCATATTTTTGATGGGGTAATGATACCTCGTTTGCAATTGGATTCGGCCAAGGTGCGTCCCAGTCCTCGTTTAGACTCACGCCAGAGCCACTTAAAGCAGCATTCGAGTTTCTCTTCTGTACATTCGTCAGTATGCTCGCTGTTTCAGGTGCATTAGTATTTGAGCTGCGCAAAGCTTCTAAGACCTTCAACCGAAGTTAGGAAGAAAGATGTTTCCGATTTCGCCGCCATCGATTCAAAACATCCGTTGCTTGTTGCTCTGACTGAAGCCGTTTTAGGTTTCTAAGGCCGCATCCTCTATACTTTGGTGAGAGAGGTATTCTGGTGAGCAATAGCGCCACAATATTATCCAAAAAATTGTTTCACGAATGAATCGCTACTGTGCTAAATCGCGCTTTCCGGTCTATTGAACATCGTTAGAAGGATGTTCTGGCGCACCATGTATGAAGATTTTGTTTAGGCGGTTTTGCTTGCTGTGTCCCACTTCGATGTTTTTTATGTTTGTCACGCGCTCCATGGGACATCAGGATAGATGCGTATCCCACAGGATCCATGTTTTAGTGCGCCTGCGGAGGGCAAAACGTTTTCGACTTCGTTAGAGGATTCTAGTGTTACTCGAATAATTCTGGGTTCTCCAGAGTATGTGGAGTTCGGATGACGAGTAATTCGTAATAAGTTTATGGGCTTGGCTTTGACACTCATCAGCATGCACAATGAATTCCACTGGTCTTGCTCGTCCGAGAACTTATCGCGTAATGTTATGGCGGTAGATTCAGGGACATTTGAGCATACAACAGTCCGGGCACTGTTGTTGGATCCCTTTTTCGTTGCTCTACAAGGTATGGTACTCGTTTATCCTGACCTGATGACAAGTGTTGATTGTTTACTGTTTGCCTCTCTATTCGCGTTAACGGTGTTTACAACAGAAGAGGCCCTAATGGCACCCTTCCTGCGGACCTTTACAGCAATCTCTGCATATATAACTAATGTTCCGGGAGGGGGGGAGGCTTTGTCTTGTCAAGGGACATTTGAGCTACAGTTACCGAGGGTTGGTGTTCGGCTGTTTCATCCTTGTTAATGCTAGATGTCAGGTCTAGTGGAATTTGCTTAACCAGACGTTTCGAGTGGTGCCTGGTTTTCGTTGCCACGGGTAATGTTTGACTCTCATAGGTACGGTCAGTTTTCGCCTGGCGTTCTACCACGGTTGGAGAAGGTAACGGAGATGAGGACTTGGCTGGTTGCGCTTCAGGAGAAGCGGATTGTGCAGCATTCCGTTTGTTAGAAGCCACTGCGCTTCCGTAGTGTATAATCGCTTCTATTAAAGTAATCTTATCGTTTATTCTCTGCTCGACTTCTGCGGTTGACCGATCGCACTTCTGAGATAGGATAAGCAAGTACTTAACAAGTGGGATGGTGGAACACGCAGTACAGAGCCCAAGTGCATCGTGGGAGCTATTTCGCTCTCGACCCATTGTTGGGACACATTTGCACATTTCGGATGATTCCATTCCAAACAGTGCGAGCAAGCCAGACCTATTTTAACGAATCGATGAAGTCCTCCTAACCCGCAAATGCCTTTTGCTGTGAGCCTTTTCGGATTTGCATTTCTGCCATTCAACGTAGTGTCGTTACCTGACCTGGTGGCTTGGTTAGCGTTCTGTACTTTTCCAGCTTTGAGAGCGGCGCACATCGGTCAGGCGAGCGTGGTGGTTGCAAGCTTAAATTAGTAGTCGGCATGGTCGCGCGGTTCGTGTGACGGGTTATGCAGGCGTACTGGCTGGCAAGGTAACAAGGAATGGCAAGTAACTGGAACCTGCAAACTGAATCTGAACACAGCGCTGAACACAGATTGAGCGATCACAAATTTAAAACAAGTTGTTCGCTTTATAATTCCGAACAGGAAAATCAGAAGAGGTAGATTGTGAGATGGAGTCGTCATTTCGTACATTCTTATCAATCACATAAAACATGCAGCAATGACATGTAAATGGACAACCAACAATGTCAAAGAAATCATATCTAGCTCCGGATTTGCGCTACCAGGGTAGGCTTAAAGTCACAGTCAATTGTTTTTGAATACATAACGGTGGTCACTCGCGATCGATAACGATGGCTTCCAATAGCCTAAGCATGTGAGGCCGCCGATCGCGCAGTAGGACGGTGAAGGATTCATCAGGATTGCCTCGGTGGCCGGTGGTAAGCAAGTGCTTTGTGACTGCCGAGGCAGCTCGGTTTTCTGATTTAACAGATTCCGTGATTACTACAGACGCCATCCGGCTGCGTAACCACTAAGGGATGTGTTCACTGACACTTAAACTTCGGTTAGTATGCCCAACGTAGCTCCACAGCTACAAGTGAATTTTTATAAACTGTGGGACGTACATTGCCTAGTCGTCGGTGTCTTAATCGAACACATAAGCATAGGTTTGTCGATGTGAGCAGTCGCAGTTCTGCCGCATTGTACGCTCTTTTGAGTGAAGCCCTGATCCGTTTATCGGTGACCCGCTGTCCATATAAATTCACCTGTAGCTGCGAGCTAGCTACGATGGGCATACTAACCGAAATTTAGGTGTCAGAGTCAATGAACACATCCCCAAGTGGTTACGCAGCCGAATGGCGTCTGTAGTAACCACGGAATCGGTTGAATCAGGAAACCGAGCTGCCTCGGCAGTCACAAATCACTTGCTTACCACCGGCCACCGAGGCAATCCTGATGAGTCCTTCACTGTCCTACTGCGCGATCGGCGGCCTCACATGCGTAGGCTATTGGAAGCCATCGTTATCGATCGCGAGTGACCACCGTTATGTATTCAAAAACAGTTGACTGTGACTTTAATCCTACCCTGATAGCTTAAAGCCGGAGCTATATATGACCTCTTTGACATTGTTGGTTGTTCATTTGCATATCATTGCTGCAAGTTTTTTATGATTGATAAGAATGTACGAAATGGCGACTTCATCTCACAATCTACGTCTTCTGAGTTTCCTGCTTAGATCACAAATTCTTTTACAGCTGTGTTGAGAAACGCCGGATCGGAATAAGCTTAGGCTTTTCGGGCTGCCACGAAAATTCTGTATCGAATGGCAGGTAGCTCAAAGTAGTTGCGTTATCCGCTTGCGCTTAATAATGGATGTCAGTGAAAATGGTTAGTGATGGCCCAGACTCTAATCGTAGAATATATTTCCACGTATGATAGATCATAGTGTAGGGCTGGTAAATCCGGTTCTAATGAGCGTACAGTGACAACGCTGCGAGAAGATGGGGAGGGGATCGAGGGGAATAATCCAAATGAACCAGGAGCAAGTACGTCATGTGTGTGTGTATGACCTTGACAGTACTCCACGCTTGTTGGAGCTCCACAGGCCGTAACAGCTTTTGCTTTACTCGTTTCCCATCATTGTTTGCGGTCTGTAATTGGGCTTTCATGCTACGGATTAATGCATAATAATAATAATAATAATAATAATAATAAAATCAAGGGAGAGACCGATGTTGAGCATCAAGCTTTTGACACTTCTTGTCTTCAGCTGTTTATGTTATCTCCGTATATTTTGTTGCGCAAATTCCTTAACTTTTGTGTTTAATAGTTTAATAGCATATTCCTCGTGTCCTACCTGATATTCACAATTACTGCGGTGACCATAAATCCGGCTGAAAAGGAAGTGCGGATCAGGCAAGCCAACCGAAGGAAAAGAGTTCCTGACTTGGATCCGCGCCACGCCCACGTCATTGAAAACTTTTACTGTAACCTATGTGAATTGCCAATGTAAGTTTGTTAAGACAGAAGCTGAAATTAACGTGATGTGCCCTCCTCAGAACTTTCGCATTACTCATACAGGTGCTGAATAAATAAAGTCTAATGCAAAATGTATGACAATTTTAATGAAAGTGAGTTTATTTTGTAAATGCAGCTGGAAGTTTACTAATAGTCACTCTGCTACCTCAGTACACTCCAATTTCACCAGTGTCATCGAGTTCAACGTACTTATCTTCATCATCTTTCCAAAACGCGTTGAAGACATCCCCATTATGGTGTCCATTTTCATTTCCGTATTGGAATCCTTTGGAGGGATCGGTGGTGAATGGGTTTGAGCCTATAGAGTTCCAGCTCTATTTCTCGAATTCGATTCATCTCTTCTACATGAGTATGATTACCAATGTATTATTCCGGTCCACGTACAACCACTTGCAGTCGCACGACAGTGTAGAATATTTTCAGATCACTTGTATACTCTAGATGTCTAGTGAAATTCTTAGCGTCAAACTGATTTTCTTGATGTAATGATCACTGATAATTGCACGGTATCACGTCTGGCGTGTAGTTACTTCGTCTTCTATTTGTAAATCACTTTTTACCGCAAAATTAAAGAGCAAAGATGTCTCTTACATTATTTATGTGGTTGCAATATAGGTACTTCGACCTCGCGTGTGGATTTACAGCACATATTTTCTTGAGCTGGTTAGTTGCATTATTGGCAACTAACCCTACTGAGAACGGGTCCGGCAAAAAAATCCACAACCTGGAGGACAAACTGAATTAAAAACAAAAAAATCACGAGTAATGATGCGCATCATTGCCCAATCTTTGCGAGAAAAGCTAGTGGTCTCACTCTTCGCACTTCTCTCGACTAACGACTTTTATCATGGAACTGAGTGAACCGGAACTATGTATGACAATATTGGTCACTAGAGCATCTGATCTGTTCGAACGTGGTTCATCGACCTGATCTTTCACTAGTGTGACATTCACATGGATGAATGCAGTCCGTTAGAGCTCAATTTCTGCATGGTTCAGGATATCCAAAACTATTAGATAGTCTGCCAAACGAGTCAAATAAGCTATCATCTTTCAGAGAGCCATTAGTGTGGATGTTTAAGACGCAAACTATGCATTATGCAACGGGCCACCTACTGCGTTTGAATGCATCGTTTATGAGGTGCATCTTTCGGACCGCTTTACTCGAAACATTCACTGAGCCATTGTAAGTGACACCAACGTGTGATCCCGGATATATGTGTGCGGTTTATACATGTGTCTCAGTTTAGAAGAAAAGCATGATGGCCAGTAGCGACCTATCCGACTTGTAGTGTAGTTGGCTGGCTTGATGCTGTTACGGTGTTTAATAAAGAACTGACTGTACCCGGTCTCTTAAATAAGAAGTGGGTTTCCATCCCAATATCCACAGCTTTCTTGAAAAGTGATACTCTAAAAGTCCGTCTTAGGTACATTCCACTTTGAACCTCAGAAAAGAGTTAACTCGCTCGCCCCCTGCGGTATGTGACTCATAATTCCTAAATATATCCGACAAATTAGTATGGGAAATAAGAATTATGGAATAACATCACTCGACCAATGTGATGTTTTTTCACTATGCCACGGACTGTTGTTGACATTTCATCTTTACTGACGATACTTGAGGATGCACTAAGAAAATGTTTCACGCTACTCCCGGCGCCGAGAATGGATGCACAAAAAATTATTGTTTAAGTTCCCGGATGCAAGCAAAGTGCGCCATAGTGACCTGTATCAATTTTCTTTCTCGCCTTTGTAACCTAACTGACTAGAGATTACTCCTTCATCACAACTTTCGCAGTGAACGCGTTACAGAGTGGTCAACTGACGGACCTCGAGTATTTGGACGAGGAAGCTCTCCCTAGGTTGGACGCAATTGATATGTAGCCGATACTGGAATGGCAGAATCACAACGCCGCACGTTTCAGTTGATGCTACGAAACTTCAAAATGTGAGACATTGTTGTTGGACCAGACCACCTATTCCAACTATAGCTGCACAGCGATCGGAATTGACAGATCATTTCACCTGTCTTGGAAGTTGTAGCGCTCTGAATGGTCTCTTTGCTGAGTGGATCATTACGTCTATCAGCGAAGTACGCACGGTTTTCTGAATTCTCATTTATCTATACAGGAGGCGGACAAACAGCCAATACGCCAGAGGCAGAGTGTATACCACTACAATTAGGCCTGTATTAATGTATAAATAAAAATGTTAATCACTTCACGTTGAGCAGCTTCCATCGCCGATGCATGTAGGACATCGTTCAGGGCTTGTGAGAACACAAAGAGAGAGATAGAGAAATTGAAGTCCAACGTTTCGTTTCTACCAAAAACCTCGCTGGAGTATCGGTAAAACTTGACCCCCTTGCTATGGTAATGCAATATATTCTGGATGTCCGTCGACCGTGCCCCACGGTATCTAGTATATGTTGTTTCTGCACCCAGCTGGGCGAAATCGAAAGGTCGCCAGTCGATTAAGTGACATATGGTTATTACGGAGCCTAGTCAGGATAGTGCTTGCAGTCTTCGTGAATGGAGGCCCCGCGGCGGCCCACCTCAATGATCGGCGACCCCATCTGGCATGGGGCAGTCGACAAGCAGGGACGTTGTTGCAGTCGATTTCTTGCATACATCTGTTGACGTTCCTTCCTGGTCAGTTTGCTTGCATTTTCCAAACTGGGCTTTGGTACCCTGGTTTCATAGCATGTCTTTTCCCCCACCATTTTCATCTATGCTTATGTTAGCGAAACGAATCATGGCAAGTGGATTCACTGGACTTTGATGCCCGCATCACAAGTGTTTAACACGACTGCGTTGTTAAGAGCGGAGAGAGAAATATGAGATACGTAAGTGATCACCGCTTACTGGTTATCTTACCAGGCGATTGGCATTCGGGTTGAGCCTGCAATGCTGCAACGCGTAGCACGTCACCCGACCTCAGTGCACTCTGGTGAACCTCGAATTCTTCTAGTAACACTAAACTCAGCAGACGAGACAGAGGCTGTCCTGCTCTCAGCAGTTCGTCTTCGCAACTCACCGAGCGGAGTGCGCATACTACCTGATCTACCTTGGAAAGACCGCGCAAAAGAAGCATTGGAGCAACACGGTATTGCTAATAGAGATAGCAAGAAAACAATATTTGTTCATGGTGTTCCCGAGCTTCTGCATGCTTTTGATCACGATGCGCAAACACATGACCGAGAGCAGTGGTGCTACATCCGCGAAGCACTCTCTGTTAACAATGTTATTGCCAAATCCCTAACAAGAGTTCCGTTATCACCTAACTACAAGGGCTGCGGTCCAAGGCTAATGAAGGTAATACTACACTCCGCGGGAATGACGCAAGTTCTGTTGGATAGCTGGTTAAAGTTTCGAGCTAGGTTGCCAACAGAAATACGGCTAAAGGCAGCAGGCGAACGACCAAAAGTCGGAAGAAATTCGATGGAACTTGCAAACGCTGCAAATTCGTTATTTGCACAGTCCTTCGGAGAGACCGATACAACAGCGCCCACGTCACACAGGAGGACCGAGCACAGCACGAGTGAACCATCAGTTCAGGAACGCTCAATAATGTCATGTAACACGACTGAAATACACAAACCAAAAAACGATTAATTGCCGGCCACCTAACGGCCGGATTAAAAACGAACACAAACTTGACATCCACCAATGAACTCCTAATCACAAAAGCCCTATCTTGCATGTACACAAACGCTCAAAGCCTTCGAAGCAAGTTGGTCGAACTTAGAGAACTCCATGCCTCCCAACCGCGGGACCTCGTCATGATTACAGAGACATGGTTAAACCCTGAGATAACCGACTGTGAGATCAAGTTACCCGGTATGTCGCTGCTTCGGACCGATAGAACCGGAATGGGTGGCGGTGTGATTCTTTACTATAATACAAGCCTCCGATGTGAAGTTATCCATCACCCGGAAATCCAAGCTCCTGATTCGCTTTGGTGCCGCCTTTGGTTGCGAAACAAGGACATATGTCTACTAGCCGTGATTCATCGCCCACCAAGCTCTACGTCAGAAATGGACTCCAAACTGAACCACGTTTTTCAGTTTGCTTTGAACAAGTCCTACACCCACATTCTTATCGCAGGAGACTTTAACGTGCATGACATAGAAACGCCGACAACCGACGGTACGCATTTTAAAGCCTGCTTGCAAGAGCTTATTGCTAGCCACCCTCTTTACAACCACGTAACATCTCCCACCAGATTTCGAACTGCTAACAAGCCATCGATACTGGACCTTGTGCTAACCAACGAAGAACTCATGATTGACAGGATAGTTACAAGCACACCACTGGGTCGTAGTGATCATGTCACTCTACTCTTTGACTATATATGCTATGCGGAGTACCCTGAAAAGGAGGTTGATGGATTGCATACTATCACACACTACAATGTGTTGTCTAAGCTTGTTAAGGATACATCTTGGATTTTCTTAACCGAATGCCCACCAGATGTTGCCTGGGAAACATTTACAAGGACGTTTGCACACTGGTAGTGCATACATCGGAACAGAAGTCCTCCTAACCCAAAAACCAGAGTAAGTCATTTCTGAGGAGTAGAACACGTAAATGTATGTCCCGGAGGGATTCGGCATGATGAAATCATCAGGGCTGCCCGAATGCCGAAACCTGGACTGCATACGTGACACATCGTAACTTCTGTGTGAAACTGATCCGCGAAGACAAGGTCACGCATCAGCAGAAGTTAATGAGACGATTCTGCACTAACCACAAACTCCTGTACAGGCACATTAACGACCTTCGAAAGGTAAAGCGAGGGGTTCCGGCGCTAGTCACAGCTGATGGATGCACGCGGTCAGCAATGGAAGCAGCTGATCTCCTACGGCTTCATTACTCCCAAACGTTCCAACAAGTGTCGAGCCCAAACATTCATCTCATTTATAATACTCCACCATCTGGTTTAGAAAACATCACCTTCACTACGGAAGC